GAACCGACAGCTGCTGACATATCACGGACCGCGACAAGGGCAACACAGGCCAGAATCACAGATCACGCCGAAGCTAGTCAGATTCAAGCCCGTCGCCCTCCCCCCCGAGCACTACCAGACGGGCGAGATGACGCCAACTCCTCCCCGCGGAGGGCGGCCGCCACCTGACGGAGCGGAGCGGCACTTGCTAGCACGCGGCCTCCTCCACCCGCCCCTCGTCGTCCGATGGGGGGGAGGTCAGAGGCATAGAATCTGGCGGCGTGCGCGGGAGGGCTCAGAGCTTCCTACTCTGAGGATGGCCTCGGAGCCCATTCGCACCGAGGGCTTCCCCAGGTCGGGATGTCGACCCCCGAGGATTTTGATGTGTTTTGACATTCTTTTGGCGGGCCGTCATCCTCCTCGGGCAGTGAGCGTTACATCGGTTGCTCTTGAGAGGGGAACCCACCGAAGCCAAAGACGCGACGCGCAGCGAATGCAAACAAAAACAGAGCTGGCGTCTGAACAAGCGCGCGCTACTATGCTGTGTCCGAAACCTGCGGCTTTGGCCAGATCGATGTCCCTGAGCTCCCCGTTACAAGCACGAGTCGGGGCGCAACCTGGCTGTGACATGCTACGCCCCAGCCTGCAACAAACTGCATCTCCAGCCCCGAGCGATCCGTTGGAACAAGCGGGACCGCTTGGCCCTACAGACCGCATAATATTGGGTGACTGACCACGCGCCTGGGCAGGGCCGTGATCCTGCTGACCATTCCATCCTGTACCACGTCCAAACCATCGACCAATGCTTTTTTGAGGACACACTGGCCGGCTCATCCTACGCACTTCTCCTCCACCTCATCCTTCTCTACACTGGCCCAATAAGAATACCACTCTACTCTCTCCCCTGGCCCTGTCCTGTCGTGGCCCTTTCTCCCGCGACCCCCCCTGGATGTCCCGGGACCTACCATGAGTGCCCCAAGAGGCTTCCAAGACGGCTCCAGAGGGCCCCGAATCGCCGAACCATCGGTCGAAGACGCCAAAGTAGCCTCCAGACGGCCCAAGAAATTGCCAAGACGCTTCAAGAAGTCTCCAAGAGCACTCCCAAGAGGGCACGAAGAGGGAAAAATCATTGATTTCCTTAAGAAGTTTTTGACAGATTTTGGCGTTCTCGCCGTTTCAACTTGCCGACGCTCCAAGACGGCCCAGAGACCCTTGAGAATAGCTCCAGGTCGCCACCGCCGTCAACGTCGTCGTCGTCGTCGTCGTCGGCCAAAGACGCTCCCGAGAAAGCCTCACGGTTGCCAACAACGACCCCAACACGACCCCCCCACACACGAGACCCAAAGATACCCCCAAGAGGCCCCCCCGCCACATTAGAGAACGCATGGGTCGCCCTCCAGGGTCGGCGGCACCGGCCGTAAGGCCTTCGCAACACCACTCTACTCTCTCCCCTGACCCTGTCCTGTCGTGGCCCTTTCTCCCGCGACGTGTTTTTTTCCACACGCAAGATTTCAATATGGTTTCATGTGCGTACGTTCCCCATCGGAACGCTTACGTCCTCCAAACATGGCATTCTCGCTGCAGCGTTGGCCTCATTTCAGGCTCGGCGCTTCGCTCCCGTCGTTCAGAATGGCACTCTCGCCCCAGCGCGAGCCACACTTGCAGTTCCGAATCCATCCTTGTCGTTGTCGCTCCCCTCATTTCCCCTTCTCCGCCTTCTTCTGGTCCCCGTGTTCCTCCCGCTCATCTTACTAGTGCTGCTGCTGCTGCTGCTGCTGCTCCTCCTCCTCCTCCTCCTCATCCTCCTTCCTCATCGTCCTCTTCCTCCTGCTCATCTCCTGCGCATCCGCCCGCCACCTCCTCGTCCTCCAGTGTGAACAGACGGTGCATGACACGGTGGGGTCGTTCGGGGGACCCAGGTCCACTAGGACACCCGTCGGCGAACATGGCAAAATCTGGAGAGCAGAAAATCCCCCCCATAACAAGCACCCTGACAAGCGAAGCCGTCTAGTCAACGCACCCATGGAAGGAATGGAACAGGGCAGGGCTGTTTCGTAGACGCCCAGGGCTGTTCAGTAGACGCGAGTTGTCGGGGTCGGGGTGGTTCTTCCACCCTTGAAAATCAGCGCAGTGGGAAAAGAAGGGATGGGTGGGAGGGGCAGGTTGCCGCACACGGCGCGGACGAGCCCAGTCCAGACTCTCGCACCCCTGCGACCAGGCCGACGTGCGAGCGCAGCGAGTCCGCGGCCGAGGGCCCAAGCGCCCCCCGCAGCCCGGAGAGTCGGCCGCGCGACGAGGTCGACGGGGCAGGAGGGGAGGAGGGAGGAAGGAGGAGGAAGGGGAGGGAACCATGAGGGAGACTCGCTCCGCGCATCTCTCCTCTCCTCCCTCTTTCTTCTCAACCCTCTACCTCCTCCTCCTCCTCCTCCTCCTCCTCCTCCTCCTCCTCGTCAGCTCCTGCTGCTTCGCTTACGCTCGCTATCTTCCCCCCTCCCTTGCCCCTCTCTCCTGAGCGAGGGGTGGGCTGCGGAGCAGCAGCAGCAAAGGTAGAAGTGGAAAACTCAGTCCTCCAATCGCTGGGATGCAAACGTCCATGCTACTCTGGTCGGGCGCCTTTAGGGGAGGAGCCGACCAACGGGGCAGAGGATAAGCCGGAGGAGAGACTCTTGGTGATATCGCGGAAGGTCCTACGATGATGACGACCTGCAAAAATACGCTGGACTTCGTCCTCCCCCCTCCCCCGTCCTCCCTGCTTCTTCCTCCTCCTCTACCTGATGTCCCTCCCCGTCCCTCTTTATCATCCTCCTCCCCCTCTTCCTGCCGCCCACATCATCAGCCGCAAGCGCTGTATGGAGCTGGGGGCGCCCACCACTCTCTTCGAACGCCTTAGAACATCGTCTGCGGGAGAGGAGGACAGGGATGAGAACTCGATATTCGATACACGAAGCTCCCGCCGCAGGACTTGCTGGTGAAGTGGCGGGCAGGTCTGTCCTTTCGGCCAGGGGCTCGATTTTCCCAAAAACTTGCCAGGCATCCAGGCCGTCGTTGCCTCCCCCCTGTCCCGCAAGTAGAGAAAGAGAGGCACACAGAAAGAGAGAAGGAGAGAGGGAAAGAGGAATGCAGATGAGCCGAAGGACCCGTCCCCCCCAGCCTGTAAGAACGCAGCACGCAAGGAAGCCAAACCACAAAAGCCTCTGGCGCAGCACGCAAGCCAACGCTCACCGACATTCATCGAGCATTCGAAGTAAGAGGAGGAGGCGGCGGGAGAGGAGGAGGTCACGACATTATACTCCATGCGCCAGCTCGGATGCGCAAGTCGAAACGCAGCCCCCCCCATCTCGGAGCAAGAGGAGGGGCTGACAAGGTTTCCTTATAGCTTGGGGTTATTTGGGCCCGCGGAAGTTCCAGAGGGTTCCACTTGTGTTAGGACTCGTATCGGCCCTCTTCTTCTATCCGACCCGCTCCCCTCTCCCTCCCCTCATCATCCTCATCTGTTTGCTCATCCTCTTCCCTCCTACCCAGAACTCCGACACCGTGACTTTCTCACAACGTCGACCCTCAGGGGCCTGGACCACGTCCCCGGGACCAGCTCGTCATTCTAGCCCGCTTCCTGACGGTCCAGAGGCCCAGCGAGGGCCCCTGGAGGCCGATTAAAAACCGTCCGTCGTGTTTTCATCGCGACGGGAGGAGGTGCGGGGTCACCCTCCTCCCACACCCCCTGCCCCTCCCCGTCCTCCTCATCCTTCTCCCTCCTCCTCCTCCTCCTCCTCCTCCTCCTCCTCCTCCTCCTCCTCCTCCTAGCTGCCATCTGGGCCCAAGAGATTGTCAGGGCAGCCCAGACCGCCACCATGCCGTTCCACCGTTTGTGCGGACAGAAGGGGCGGCGGCCCGCCTGATGGCGGCTTGGACCGCTTCTCTCGGTGCACAACCCGCTCTCGGCAAAGCCCGACAGGCTGGCGGAGATCTACGAAGAAGCGTCCAACTTCAACGCGATAGTGCCGACGAGAACTTCACGCAGAAGACGAGAGCCCATCATCACCCAGAAGACGAAGCTGGCTGGCAAGCAGGAGACCTCACCAATCGGAGCGCGGGGATCATCGCGCTGCAGGGCAAGCTCAGGAACGCGACGGTCATAGACTTGGCGGAGCCACCACCCGAACTCAGCGGACGAGGGCTGGCCATCACGCTGCAGCACCACGACCAGACGCTGATCATCATAGGGTACTACAACACGCCGCAGCCCACCAAAGGCAAAAACGCGCGCAAGGACTACTTCGCCACCACGAACAGGCTCTTCATTTGGATAGAGGCAGTCACCAAGAGCAGGCCACGCAATGCCATGATCATCACTGCGGGCGACCTGAACGACGGTTTGGAGATCACACAGAAAGGAGCTAGACCAGATACGCCGGCAGTGGGACCAGGCAGGGCGCCTGAACGACTTCCAGGAGGAGCCAGCCAGAAGGCTCGCCAACACGCAGAACGACACGGACTCACCATCGTCAACACCTTGACCTCCCGGCGCCCAACGTACTTCGGCGAGAAGCATGCGAGCTGCATCGAATACATCATGATCCCGCAAAGCGTGGCAGAGGCGCTCGTTTCACAAGGACCACTCCTACGCATGGGCGCGCGACTACAACACATACCGTGCCGAGCACGACGTGACCAAGTACCAATGCAAGCCACATTTCGACTCCCGCTACGGCAACGAAACTTCATCGATACCAACCGCCACGATGGGATGAGGACAACCTGGTCCAAGCACGACACGGACTACACCGCCCAGAATTCATCGCAGACGTGGAGGAGACAATCACCCAGTACGACCCCAAGGGCAAGGGCGTGAACCAACTATTTCGCGACATCAACGAGATCCTTATCACAGAGGCGCAGAAGCACTACGGGCAACAACCCAATGCGGACATGAGACCGCGACGCCGGAAACCGCGACGCCGGACCGCCACGCTGGACTCCGCGACGCCGGGGCCGCGAGGGGGGAAAGAAAACCCGACATCGAGTTGGCCCGCGTGCGTCCCCAATGCCCCCTCCTCGCCCATGCCTCCTCCTCCTCCTCCTCCTCCTCCTCCTCCTCCTGCAGAACCTCCTTCACCTCCTCCATCCTCCCCGATCCTCCTGCTGGCTCCTCCTCCCCCTCCTCACGTATGGCCATGCGGATGAAGGTCGGTCTGTGTGCGCGCAGGACCCGCGGCGCCCCGCGGATGGGCGTGAACCCCAGCGGGCGGGTCGGGTCGGGCGGGCGGGACATTAAAGTGCGGGGCATCCACGAGCGAGCACGCGTGAACGCTAACGGGCGGCGGCGGTCGCGGCGGCGGGCCCTAACGGGCGGCGGCGACGACGGCGGCGGGGCATTAAAGTGTGGGGCATACTCGGGAGGGCACGCGTGAACCCTAACGGGAAGCGGCGGCGGCGGCCGCGGCGGCGGGCCCTAGCGGGCGGCGGCGGCGGCGGCGGCGGGACGTTAAAGTGCGGGGCATACTCGAGAGGGCACGCGCGAACCCTAACGGGCGGCGGCGGCGGCGGCCCCCAGCGGGCGGCGGCGGCGGCGGCGGCGACGGCGGGACATTAAAGTGTGGGGCATACTCGTGAGGGCACACGTGAACCCTAACGGGCGGCGGCGGCGGCGCCAAAGCATTAAAGTGTGGGGCATACTCAAGAGGGCGCGCACAAACCTTAACGGGCGGCGGCGGCGGCGGCGGCGGGCCTTAGCGGGCGGCGGCGGCTGCGGGACATTCAAGTGTGGGGCAAACTCGTGAGGGCACGCGTGAACCCTAACGGGCGGCGGCGGCGGCGGCGGACCCTAGCGGGCGGCGGCGGGACATTAAAATGTGGGGCATGCTTGAGAGAGCACGCGCGAACCCTAACGGGCGGCGGCGGCGGCGGCAGACCCCGTCGGGCGGCGGCGGCGGCGGGACATTAAAGTGTGGGGCAAACTCGTGAGGGCACGAGTGAACCCTAACGGGGGGCGGCGGCGGCGGCGATTGCGGTGGGCCCTAACGGGCGGCGGCGGCGGCGGCGGCGGGACATTGAAGTGCGGGGCGTGCTCGAGAGAGCACGCGTGAACCCTAGGGCGGCGGCGGCGGCGGCGGCGGCGGCGGACCCTAACGGGCGGTGGCGGCGGCGGCGGCGGCGGGACATTCAAGTGTGGGCCATGTTCGAGACGGGCGGCAACGGCGGCGCCACTTCTGGCGTGCCGGCTCTGGCGTCGCCGTTCTGGCGTGCCGGTTCTGGCGTGCCGGCTCTGGCGAGGAGGGTCTGCCGTGCCGGCCCTGGCGTGCCGGCTCTGGCGTCGAGGTTCTGGCGTCGCGGTGTCTGGCGTCGCGGTGTTGCCTCTCTGGAGGCCGGTGGAACTCCAATCGAAGCTTGACCATGGATATCACCGCCGCCCTCATCAGATAAGGAATCTCTCCAGGGCCTGCAGTCTCCTGGGCGCATTCCTTAACAAACGCCTCTATCGTAATTGCGGAAACATGCAGTAGGAAAGCGGCTAAAGGTAGATTGGGTTCGGGCAGCCCAAAGAATATCACAGCTCAGCGAAAACAGATCGACTCTTGAAATAGGAAGGCGCTTGAAGTAGACCAGGATTTGGGCATCCATAAATACTTACTTCCAACGACCAGCGTGTAATGTGCAGTGTCCTGGGGCGACCGGTGAAGTACGGGCACGGGCGGGGGGGATATTTTTTCTTTTGGGAGGAGAATACATGTAGATACCAAGCATAAAACCTATTCCTCCCATCTTGTGGACTCCGTGCCCCACCGTGAGAAGCGCCTCCTGATCCGCGCGGATCCAGATGGCCATGTTCACCGGCCACAGGTCGCCTGACGGGACGGGGGCGCTCAAGGAGCCCCCCCCACCTCCTCATCCTCCGCATGCACCTAGTCTGTGATCCTCCTCCTCCTCCTCCCGTTCCTCCTCCTCTTCCTCCTCCTTCTCCTCCACTGCTCCCCATCCCTCTGCTCCCACTCTTCCTCCTTGGCTACTCCTCCTCCTCCTGTTTCTCCTCCTCCTCTTCGTCCTCCTCCTCCTGCCCCCCGTATCATCAAGAAGCCCCCCCGAAGGCCCCTGAACCCTCGATAAGACTCGACAGTACCCAGTACCCAGTGTCGTTCCGCTCCGTGGGGAGGGAGGCTCGGGAAAGGCTTGGGACGGTGAAGCCTGGGGACTGCGAAGTGGATAGCGCGACGTGCCGAAGCGCGGTGGGCCAGAACCGGCGGAGCGACGCGGTATCCAAAAATTCTCGACCGCAGGTGCTTCTCCGAGGTTCCCAGGAAGCAAAGATAGCACTTCGCTGCCGTGCTCCTGCTCGTGCGCCTCCTCTGCCCTGAGCTCGCGAATCTCCAGAGGCACCGCGGTGCTGCAGCAGCCGCCTCCGCCAGAGATCCTGCAGGGCAGCCTGCGCACTGCACTTGCTTGTTCCTGCGCCAATCACCCCATGGGCACGATGTGCCCAGCACCACTTCCAATATGCGCAACATCCGATGTACGTAGCACCACCCGATGGGCACGATGTACTCCCGTTGGGCACGGTTTACGTAGCATCACCCCATGGACACGATGCACGTAACATCAATTCCAGTGGGCACGATGCTTACGTAGCACGGAACCCAGGGGCACGATGTACGTAGCACTGCTTCCAATGTGACGCAACAAACAACACCTGAACGCAACCACGGATATCCCCCATCTCCTCCCCCCACCTGCGGTCGGGTACTGTTGCTTAGCGTGTCGTGGCGGCGGCCCCAAGGACACGCTATGCTTTGCAAAGGGATAGCGTGTCGATGCGCCCCGCGGGGCGGGAGGTCGGGAAAAACTCGGAACGTGGACACCTGGGGACTGAGAAATGTATAGCGTGTCTCGCCGATGCGTGGTGGGCCAGAACTGGCGGACCGACACGCTAGCCAGAAGTTCCCGATCGTATTACACTCGAACACATTCATGGATCTCCCCCAAATCCTCCCAAAACCTGGCTGGCAATAACCCGCACTACGCGGATCGCCTATTCAACTCTTTCCTCCCCCTCCTCCTCCGCCTCCTCCTCCTCCTCCTCATCATCATCATCATCATCATCATCATCATCATCATCATCATCATCATCATCATCATCATCATCATCATCATCCACATCAGCGTCCTACAAACGATGGGCTTCGTGAAACCCTACCACAACCTACGTCTACCCAGGAATTCTCCCAAGCACGGTCAGCGACCTTCAACCCCGGACCACGGGCACTCTGTCGTTCACAGAACAGCGAATGCTTACTACAAAATCAAGATTCACAGGACGAGCCCGGCCGGCCAGGGGCATGAGACAGAGGCGGGGGAAGAAGGGGAAAAAAGGGAAGAGACGAGAGGGGAAATGCGGGCCCAATCCGACATTTCGTCCCATGTAACCAGTCCCTCGAGGAACTTGGAGCGTCCCGAACTCTTCTGAGGTGGCTCACAGTTACTCACGAGGCGGGCTGATGCTTTGCATGTGGCAAAGCCGCCACACCTCAAGCAGAAAATAACAGGCACCTCTGTCTCCATCACCCTAGCCCAGTGCAGCAAGTGCTGATCCCCACATTGGCCACGCAACAGCGCGGTCATCTTTGGGCTCGGCTCAACACAGGCTGTGGTGGTGTCTGGTGTGACAGCTCGGAGGCATGTGGTGCAGCGATGCTGATCCCCGTGTGGAACCAACACATGCTGAGTCTTCACTCGAGATGGCGCCTTGGCCTTCTCTGGCCTGTGAATTTTCTTGAAGTGGGCCTCAACTTCAGGCCATAACTGCAGGATCGACGTGACCCCCGCTGCTAGACTGTTGCATTCAACCTCTGCGCTTTCAAAATCCATCAGCTCCTGGGGGGTAAGATTCTGAGTATGGGCAGCTATCTTTGCCCGCGTATCAGCTGAGTGCGATCCTAGGATACGAATTCCGTTATCGTCATCTACGGCACCGCTGTAGGCCCTGTGGGCCTTGATCTTATCCGAGGAGACCCGCGGCCCTCCCCTAACTGTCCTGGACATATCGCACCAGAAAACAAGAAGACAACCTCGACGAGCCCTCAAAAGCTTTGGCAGGGCCCCAGGCCCCGAGGAGAAGCGCGGCGCAATCCACAGAGACAGGCTCGGGAGACGCAGCCGTCAGCGGGGCCCTTCCTGCGCAAAATACTGACAGCCAGCGCTCCACGCTCTGCGTCGCTGGCCGCCTGGCGGGATCCCGCGGGCCGCGGGCGATATTGCTCCTCGAACGAGCTGTTCTGACTGCAGGTGCGCCACAGAGAATGAGCGGCCCCCAGGCCGCCTGGTTGAGGACGAACCCTCAAAGCTGACGACAAAACCCTCAAAGCTGACACTCTCATTGCGGGAAAGTGCTAACGAACCCTCAAAGCTGACGACGATCCCTGCAGGTGGGCCAGTCTGTGGGCGGTTCTCTGGCGACCCGTTCTCCCAACCCGTGAGATCTCCTTCTTTTCTCCATTCCTGCCAGCGCCATCCGTGTGGAGTCGTCACGCGGACCAAACTGAAATCCAGGCGCGAACCGTCCGTCACCCAACAAACAAACCAGCTGCCAGTCCGCGGCTGGCCCAGGGAGCTCGGAGAAAGGGGCCCAGAAACGCGACGGCAACAAACGCTCCTGGGCGGCCCCTCGGCTCCGGCCCAGGGCCTCAACGCCGAAAACTCACGCCGCTGGTGTGCGACATCTGGGCGGGAACACCCCCGACATCTATGCCGCGGCGTGCCACCGCGTTCTTTGCAAAGAGGGCGCCGAATGCCCACTCCATGGCCTCATCTAGAGAGGGCCACCCCAGCCGGGGCCGTGCCCGACACCACTTGGCAAACGAGGTGCAGCTATTCTGGTGAGAGGCCTACTCGCTGAATCAAGGGTAGCCACAGGCTTCTCTGCGAAATTTCTACCCCCCAAGAGCGTTGGTTTGGCCAGGAGCTATGCCTTTCTGTAGCATAGCCTGACGGGGGGGCGCTGAAAAGGCATCGGACACTTCTGGTGGGGGTCTCGCTTTTTTTGCTTCTCTCTCTCTCTCTCTCTCTCTCTCTCTCTCTCTCTCTCTCTTTCTCTGCGAGGACCCACCTGAAACCGTTTTGTGAAACAAAGCGCAGCAAGCCCTTCCCGCGACCATCCGCCAGCTTCCTTGCCAAAGGAACATGGCCGAGATCGGCCCGCGGGCGCGGCGCAACCATGGTTTCCGTGGGGCCAGGGGGAGCTGGCGCTCTGCAGCGTGAAATTATTTACTCGGGCCCCCCAGGGCTCAGCGCATCTCGATGCCGAGGTCTCCCACGCGATGGCGGTTTGCTAGTGCGCCACCGCTCCCGCGCGTAGCGCTTTAACGGCCCTGCGGAATGTGGATGGCCCACTGGAGCTCCAACGATCACCCTCGCTCACTGATGCCTGCAGCGCGCGCTGCAGCCCGTCGAGCATGAAGAATTTCAGACGGCGCGACCCCTTGGACCTCCATCCCGAAGGAAATCGTCGAAAGGGGCCCCGCTCTTGCAGAGCCTGGCCCTGGCCCTCCTCGGTATCTTTAACATGCCCAATTTGCGATTTCGGTGCTGGAGCTTCTTGGCGCGTTTCCATGCGGATGCTTCCGGTCATGGCTACTCTGTCATGCTTTCCCGCGGCGAAGGAGACTCCGAGATTGCCCGGGGCCCAAGTTGACGCGCCCCCCCCTGCCCCGCACACACGCGCACACACACAAAAACAGCTGTTTCCTGATCCCCCTGGAGATCTCGGGCGACTTGGCAACTGAGTGCATCTTCCGCTCCGCGAGCGGCGCGACGCGGTAGGCCACTGTCGTCGCCAAGGCCTTCAACTGCACCGTGCACTTGTTTAAGTTGACGCGCGACGAATGAACCGAGAGGTCATCGACGTGAAGACATTGGCGTTTTCCTTCAACACTCCGACCATGCCTGACAGCATTCTACATGAACGCCTTCGCACCGCGCGCGGCAGAAGCGCCGCCTGCGACGATGCCCCTTCGAGCATACAACGGCTGTGAGTGCGCTCCGTCGAACGAGAGGTGTCGCTTCGACCTGTGCGTTCACAGTGTGCATATTAGTAGGACATGCAACGGGAAACTCGAGATCACCCTCTGCTGAACTAGCTCCCAGCGCCCTATGTGCTCGTAGAACTGCTTAAGGTCCACAGGAGGCTAGCCCGACATATTTGTTCTCCAGTGGCCCGCTCAGAAGCAACAGACCGGCGCCAGACCATATCGAGGCTGCCGCGCCCTTGGCCCCATGGAGAATTCAGGCCCAAGGCCGGCCCGGGCCTCCCAGGCCCTGCAAGGGCCTCTACGTGTTTTCACATGGAGGCGCTCGAAGGCGTTGCAGTGCCCAATGGGGCGGCGGCCCTTGTCAGGCTCCCCCGTGAGAAAGACGACAAGGCTCCGGGCCTGGATCGGCCCTTCACCCAAGAGATCCATGAGGATATAGAGCCACGCCAGACGTGACTGCGCCGACTCACCCATCATGCTGAAGTGCCTCGGGTGGAAACCATCGGGGCATCACGTGAACTCGGGGAACCTCGAGCTGATGCACCTCAGAGTCTCTCCAGAGATCGGGCCATGGACCTCGATGGGGATCTCGGGGGCCCAGAACTCCTTCCAGTCCGCCGGTGCGTCGGAAGCCTGCCGGGCCCCGCCCCCGGAGACGAGCAGGGAGACCACTGGAGAAACGCTCTGCACTAGCAGCGACCACTTCATGTGCAGGCCCCCCTGCACGAAGAAATGCGAACGCTTGCCTGCCTCCATTGCTGAGGGCTTCGTCGCGCCGTGACTTCCAGGATCCCCGAGAACGACTTCGGTCTTCAAGCTGGCCCAGGCGGGCCCGGGGCCCCAAAAACCCGAGGCCCATGTCTGGGATGGATTGGGGTGTTTCGCGGCCATGTGGGCGCGTCGCTCGCATAGCAATCCACGCCAGGAACGGATGCGAAAGTGCTGAAGTAACCGATCTCAGTGCCCCCGCTCGCGTCCTTCCCGAACAGGGCAATCGGCTCCTCGGCGCGTTAGTACATCCACTGGGTGACGCGACCTGGGAAAGCAGATGTCTTCTTTTTGGCGGCCAGAACAGCGGGCGCCCGAACTGGCTCAAGCTCTGACGGCGACCCACCTGGCAAACCTCCTCGAACCACTGCTCGTGGATCTCGTTGAAAGGTAGAACCCCTCACGATCCCCCCCGGCCCCTCGGGCCATAACGGCGTTCTCGGACCCCTCAAGCCGAGGCCCCAAGAAGCCCCTAAGCCTGCTCTCAAGATACGAGAAGTCCTTTCCTGGATGCTTTGGGCCGGCGGCTTGCTCGGCAGGAGTCTCGAGGTAGCTTTCGGGCACGTGGGCGGCGACGTCTCCGGCGGCCTGCGCGAGGGTGATGCCGGCGGGCCTGCGGGGGCTGAAGGGGGCCGCGATGTCTGTCGACCTTTGGGATGGCATGATCTGGGTTCTCGCGGGCGGCGAAGTAGTCCAGCGCGGAGGCTACGCCTGTCGCCGCATAGGTTTGCACTGTGGGGGCCTCGAGAACAGCGCCAACTTGACTAATCGGGGGCGCGTCGAAGAACTTAGTCGGGGCCATGCCGGGCCCCCCGCCCAAAACATACGGGGGCCTGCGCTGGAACGCGTCGCCCCAGATAACCTCCATGACTTCAGAGCTTGTCCCCTCGAGGCCCATCCGAGTAAAAGGCGAAGGGGCCCAGCTCGGCACTCCGCAAGAAACACCTCGCGACGCGGCCTCGAACGAGCTCGGGGGTAGCGCCTGGCGGGGCCCATGCATCATAATGGCGACGACCGCAGGTCATAGTGCCACTTGATGGCTGCCCTCTTTCAGCGCGAACGCATTCAGATCAAAAAACTCCCCATCCACATGTTTGCAGCCTGCGTCCTACGGCAGAGATCTCCAGATAGATGATGTTCCTGAAACAGGACCGCATCGGATGACGCATCACGCATCGTGTCGTCGCACCCGGGCAAGCCACGCGATGGCGGGCGCTCCAAGTCCGAACTGCCCCTGGACTCCAGAACCCAGCTTGACCCATTGACTGTAGTTATCTGCAAACTGTGAACAACTCCTCGTCTGCGACGGTGTGATCTGGCTTCGTTGGATCGAATTGGGACGGCAGTCCCCCTCCGGCCGATCCGCCAGTGCGAGTGATATCCAGGGCTCTCTGCGCGGTCGCCACGCCCCCAGGTGCTCTCGCGCGAGATTCGCCGGGGCCCCCATCTGCGCAGGCAAGGCAGCCTTCGCAGGCGGGCGCCTCTGAGACGGCGGCGAACCCTGCGGCGCGGCGCGCGTCATCGAAGAAGCTCCACTAGTAAGATCAACCATGGTCTCAGCCAAACTGGCGACTGCACTTCCCAAATTTGTCGCGCGGCCACATGCCGCAGCGCGCCCTGCGCGAGGGCCTGACGGCCCAGCTCGCGCGGGCTGGACAGGGGGGCCGCGCGCGCCTTGGCACCGACGCCGCAAGACTGGGCGGGAAGGCCCCATGCAACTGCGGGGGCCTTGGCACGGACCAGCTGGGGCTAGAGCCACAACTGCTGCGTTATATGCACCAATCTGGTATGATATATGGCCCCGCACTCTGCGCCGAGGTGCACATAATCGAAGGCCCAGTAGCAAGACCAACCATATTCCGAACCAAACTGGCGACTATACTTCCCAAACTTGTTGAGCGGTCACATGCCTCGGCGAGCCCAGCGCAGGGGCCCCCGCGGCCCAACTCGCACTGGCTGGACAGGGGAGCCGTGCACACCTTGGAACCGACGCCCTAAGACTGGGCGGGGAGCCCCCATGCAACTGCGGTTGACCCAAGGTCCGCTACGGACCAGCTCGGGCTAGAGCCATGGCCCCGCGTAGGCGCCCGACGAAATTGACCATGTAGGGGGACGAACCCCGCTGGATTCACATACATCACTAAGTACATGAAGATAATGGCTAAAGGTCAGCCTCCTCAGACGATCCATCTCCATCTCCTCCAGCGGCCTCCGACTCAGCTTTTGGACGGGAGTAATTGCGCATGGGCGACGTGACACCCGCGGCAGGACGCCCTCCTGGGCCAGGCGAGCGAAACCGAGGCTTCTTGCTGGCCTCACGAATGGCATCCATGATCTGACGTTTGGCTTGGTCCGAAACTCCATCCACCTGTGCGGCCTCCCGAAGGTCCGCCTCGTCGATGCCAAGGGCCGAGTCGGAGGGGGCAGGTTCCTTTGCGGCAAAGGACGAGTTGAACGAAGCCACGAATTCTTTGTGCTTGAATTCGAAGCTGGACTTGGCATCGGCCCCTTTGATCCCTGACAGCAAATACTGAAACTCGTGCATGTGGCTGCAGAGCACACTGACATTGGGCAACCCAGGCTGGGCGGCGACACGCTTGGCTGCCTCCTTCTCGGCTTCCTCCATGACCCGCTTCTCGTTTCGGAATGAAGTTCTCGAGCCCTTGACGTTTCTGCTCAAGGTCAGCAAGTTGGTCAATAATCGCAGCATGTGCTGCCTCAAGTTTTTGGATATGTTTCTCACGGCGCAGCCATTCTTGCTCAGCACGCTGAAGGTGTCGACTCGATGGGAGCAAGTCCTCGCGCGCCTGGCGAACCTCAATGTAGGCGTTGGAAATGGCGTCGCAGGAAAATTTCGGCAACAACCCCTTGAACCGACCTGGGGTGCATAAGACGATGCAACTCATCCATGGCAAAATGTGGGGGGTCGCGGGGATTAGGCATAGACGTCCCAGGATTGGTGCCACCGCCACCGCCACCTTTCGTTCCCTTGCCTCCAGCTCCGGCTACACCTGTGACTCTACCCTTCGAACCCCCGCCTGCCCCTCATTTCTTAAGCGGTTGGACCCATGGAGTATGGGTCCGGGAATGACGATGCTTCCAAGCTTCGGGAGAGTACCACGACAATAGTAGCAAAAATGAAAGTGCGAGGGATCTGTCTTACACCCGCATGTCGGACAAGCAAGCCCCGCATCCTGCTGACTGTATCTCCCACCAGATCTGCCCATCACAAGAGAGACGCTGGCGAGAGGGCGCGCAGTGCAGCGCACCAAGATCTTGGCCTCTGGGGGAGGTGGCCCACGTGAAACAAGGACGGCTGAACCCCTTGAGCGAGTTTGGGAATTTCACCATCGAGGCCCCCTGAGCCAAAATGGCTACGGCTGTTCCTCCTCCTCCTCCTCCTCTTCATCCTCCTCCTTTTCATCCTCCTCCTTTTCATCCTCCTCCTGCTCCCCCTCCTCCTCCCCCTCCCAACCCTGCTTCCCTGCTTCCCCTCCTCTTCCTCCTCGGCGCGCCCAGCTTCTCCGGCATGCCGTCCAGCACCGCCTGGTGCGCCATCCATGCCTGGCTGCCCTCTGGGGGGTCGAACTTGCCTGCCCGCCAGGTGCTCGCGCGAGGGGGGGCTCCTCGTCCTCCGCCTCCTCTCCTCCGTCCTCCTCCTCCTCCTTCCTTCTCCCTCTCCCCCTCCCCCACAAGGACGACAGCAAGATAATCAAAGACAGACTCGGGCAACGATAATCCGGGATCTCTCAGAGCTGGCAGGTCCGGAAGACAATGTCTTGGGCGCTGCGGCCAGCCCGGGGATCTCTCAGCTTTCCAGAACGCTCTGAGGCGATTCACGTCTTCTTAGATGCCCCAGTACGCAAAACGCAATCCGTGGCATATGTTGACACGGAACTCAACACGGAGATCGAATACGTACGATTGGCGCGATACGCGTGCCAGAATGTGGGTCAACACGCTGAGCCAACACACAACGTGTTAACACTAATGTTTTGAACACGGTACGTGTTGCGTTTCAACACGCGCGTTTCAGAGCAGCTAAGGAACTTCTCATCATCATCCTCCTCCCCTCCGTCACCAGACAAATCGGACAACTCTATCTTTGCGCTGCCAGCCCCAATTGCTCCCAACAAGACGTTTTTTTTCCCCCAGGGTGTCTTTGTATGACCTCGGCCTCGAGGCTGGCCTCCAGAAGCCCACACAGGACACGGAACAGCTGGGTCCTCATGTTTTGCTGTGAGCGGACATACGTAAGCTGTCAGCTGCGGCGTCTACGCAACATGCAACAAATCATACATCGACCGAACAATACGATCACCATACAGCAAAAATAGCGGCGCGGCGAAGAACACCATAAGAATGGAGAAGCCCGCGACGGCGAGAGACTTCGTGCTGCGGTGGTGGCGAGGAAGTGCAGGGTGACGCCACATCCCCCCATCAACCCCCTCTTCGCCATATCCGCCAATACCCAGACCTACGGTGAAAGTGATGGCGCCACAAGTGGCGCGCTACATTGCAGGGCCAAGGATGCAGTACCTTGTGCTCCAACGATGGTGGTATAACCTATGTACCGATGCCCTGGCAGCAATACGAGGTGGGCCGCAGTGTGCAAACGTGCCCGTTGTCCTGCCCTCTCCGAAGGTCATGCCAATTTTGCTCCACCGCCTCCGCTACGACCGGACCTACGATTGAATAGCGCCCTCCAAAAACACGAGACATTCCGCGGGCCCGACTGAAGAACATTCGTGGGTACCCTCCCCCAAGATGCACAAACACATCCAGCAAACACGACAAACATAGGGTACTTTCCCAGAGCCGACCTCGATGATGGGTATACATGAGAGAGCGTGATCCACCGCCGCTTTACTGTGGAAAATTGCCAACCTTTTCCTCCGGAGCCCGGGGGTCTCCCCCCCCCCCTCCGAAAATCCCCCCCCTCCACCCCCCCCCCCCCCTGGAACCCCCCCTTCCCCCCTCCCTCCGGCAAAACCCCCCCCCCCCCTAACCCCTCCTCCCCCCCCCCCCTCACCCTCGAAAACCGGGGGGGGTCACTACCGGTTCGAACCCCTCCCCCCCCCCCCCCCCCCCCCCTCCGGACCGGAAAACCGGGGGGGGCACTAGGGTTGGACCCCCCCCCCCCCCTCGAAAACCGGAGGGGGGTCACTACCGGTTCGACCCCCCCCCCCCCGCACCGCCAGCAAACGACTCCCGGTCCCTACCACCGCTCGCATGACATCCCCCACTGTTGTTCCCAGCACCACTGTCCTCACCACCACTGCCCCCGCTGGTTCCACCACCGTCCCTATTGTCCCCACCAGTGCCCCCACCACTGTCGCACTGTCCCCACTGTTCCCACAACTGTTCCCACCACGGTTCCACTCTCCCCACTGTCTCCACGGACCCAACCACTGCCTATCCCCACTGTCCCCACTGTCCCACTGACTCCTCCGCTGTCCCACTGAGCTGTCCCACTGTTCCCACCACTGTCCCCACTGTCCCCACTGTCCCCACCACTGTCCCCACTGTACCTCTGTCCCATTGTCCCACCGCCGTCCTCGCCGACGCCTTTACCAGTGTCCCCACCACCATTGTACCCTCCACTGTCCCAGTGTTTCCACCTCATTCCCACTGTCCCCACACCACTGTCCCCACCACCACCGTTCCCACCACTGTCCACTGTCCCCCCTGTTCCCACCATTGTCCCCACCACTGTCCCCACCACTACCGTCCCCACCACTGTCCCACTGTCCCCCCACTGTCCCCACCACTGTCCCGCTGTCCCCTCACCACTGTCCCCACCAACACCGTCCCCACCACTGTCCGCACCCCCACTCGGTTTTCGAGGGGGGGGGGGGGGGGGGGTTCGAACCGGTAGTGACCCCCCCCCCTTTTCATGATGAGCTGGGGGGGGGGGGGAGGGGTTCGAACCGGTAGTGACCCCCCCCGGTTTTCCGGAGGGGGGGGGGGGGGGGGGAGGGGTTCGAACCGGTAGTAACCCCCCCCGGTTTTCCGCCAGGAGCGGTAGAACACGCTCTTTCGTATATATGCACGCACATACATATATGGTCCAGGGTCTGGGCCCCCACCCCCTATGCTGATGCCATCGGCCCCCCCCCCCGTCGAGATGGCCCCCCACTCCCTGTGGGCGTGGCGCGGGGCGTGGCGCCCGCGCCACCCCCTCTGGGTGTGGTGTGGGGTCCTCCCTGCGGGTGCGGTGTGGAGGGAGAACGAGCAACGTCGTCGTCGACGGTGTCTTCGCCATCGTCTTCTCCCTCTGGGCGTGGCGTGCTGTTGCGGTGCTGCAGGGGGCCAGGGCAGTCGACCTCGGGTGAAGATCTTATGTCGTCGTGGTCGTGATCGTCGTCGTCGTCGTCGTCGTCGTCGTCGCAGTCGCCCCCTCCCCCATGCCATCAGGGGGGGCGGGCCGAAGGACGAACCTTCGGCCCCCCCCAAGATGGGGCGGGTCTCAGGGCCCTCTAAGGGCCCCGAGACCCATCCCATCTTCTTTGGGGGGGTGGCCGTGGGCCCGGGGCCCGGGATCATGTGTATATATATATATATATACACAAGACTTGAAGCTCGCCGCGCTTCGCTTCGAAGTCTTGGCATGGCACTGCGTGCGAGGCGAGGGGGGGAGGAGTAACTGACGCATTGGGCCGAAACGCAGCTGCATGTGGAGGCAAAGGAGGCTGAGAGGAACGGCAAAAACACGTGAGGTGGTCGAAGAGGTGCGCGCGGTTCGACGACTGCGACGACGTTGTCGTCGTCGCCGTCGGGCATCTTGAGGTGGTCTTAGGCCTTCTGGAACCGCTCTTGGGGGCGTTTCGGCCGCTTTGAAGCTGGCCTTGGGTCGACGTTGCCGTCGTCGTTGTTCGGCTTAAGGAGGGAGCCTGTGTGTTGTGTGTTGTGTTGTGTGTTTTGTGTTGTGTTGTGTGTTGTGTGTGTGTGTGTGTAAAAGCTCCCGCCCAGGTTCGAACAGGGGGGGTGGGAAGGGGAAAGGCGACGACGACGACGACGACGAAAGACGAACGACGACGATGCCGACACCGACACCAAAGCCGACGCCGACGCCGCCGCCGCCGACGACGACGACGACGATGAACACGACGACGACGCCGAACACGACGTCGAGAACGATGCCGACGACGCCGACTTCAACGCCGACGCCGACGCCGACGACACCGCCGCCGCCGCCGCCGACGACGACGACAAACACGACGACGACGTCGAGCACGACGCCGAGAACGACGCCGACTTCAACGCCGACGCCGACGCCGACGCCGACGACGACGACGCCGAGCACGACGCCGAGCACGACGCCGAGCACGACGCCGAGCACGACGCTGACGTCGACGCCGACGCCAGCGCCGACGCCGACGCCGACGACGATGCCCGGCGCCGACACCGACACCGATGCCGACTCCGATGAAGAGCCCGACGCTGACACCCCGCCCACGCCGCCGAAGCGAGCACAGAAACCGCTCTTTCTGACTTAGGCGCTGTGGCCTATAAAACCAGACTCAGGTGGGCTCAGCAAGGAAACGTAGGAATGGTGAGGAAAGAGGAACAGAGCAACGACCCGCTAGGACACAGAGTATGCGCAGGGGGGGGGATGGAGGTGATAGTGAGCCATAGATAGCTGAATCCTCCTCCTCCTCCTCAGACATAAATCCCTGTTCATTTCTCATGGGGTTCGTTCTGGCCAGACTTCGAAGTAGATCCAGCCGTGGCCACGAGGGCACCTGGAGGCCTTCCGAAGCCCCAAAGACTTCCCACTCATCAATCCTCGATCATCCATCGGTCGGCGAGCGAAATAAAAAGAGAGAGGCACAGAGAGAGAGAGAGATAAAGAGAGAGAGAGAGAGAGACGTAAAGAGAGAGAGAGAGAGAGAGAGCAAGAGAGAGAGAGAGAAAGGGGGAGCGAGAAAGAGAGAGAGAGAGAGAAATTGAGAGAGGTGAAGAAAGCGAGAGATGGAGAGAGAGAGAGAGAGAAAGAGAGATAAACAGAAAACGAAACCGAGGAAGCGAGAGAGAGAGTGAGAGAGAGAAAGCGATGTAGCCAAGAACAGTACGAACTATACACCAACATATGATGATATAGTTGAGTGTAGATGAGGACTGGTGTACGTGAGATTTTGTCTGTACTTATAGATACACAGATGCACACGTAGTTACAATGTTAGCCAGTGTGGGCCCAAACAGTGTGTTCATAGCAGCAGGTGTGTTCCACTACATGTTGTGCAAAGTATGTGGTGCTACGTATGCTGTGCACTATTCGTAATTCAAATATGTGGTGCAACCTGTGTCGCGCAATACATGTTATGCAAGCTATGTGGTGCAATCGATGGCATGCAATACATGTGATGCTATTGTGAACGATGAAAAAAAAGCGCGTCGCAGGCACGACAACGACGAGCGCAAACGATGTGCTCCAATGTATGTGAGGCACTCTATGAGGCACAATCTACGTGGTGCAATCGATGCGGTGCAACATACAGGGTGAAATCGACGTTGTGCAATGTATGCTGTGCCATCTAGGTAACTGTGCAATATATGTCGTGCAAGATATGCGGTGCAAAGTTATGTGTGA